GTTGTTGAATCTTCCTGTGACAAGTGCTTACAGACTGAAGAAGAGCAGTTGGAGAAGCTACCCTAAGGCAGGAGATGTGAGTAAAGCAGCAGCAAAGCTTTCAGTTTCTACTGGTTGACTCATGTCCACTGAGAATTGAACTTGGAGAGGCCTCCAGAAATTCAGTTTTGCTTGCTGTAATGTTTCAGACATGATGAGGAAAAACATGAAACAGAATAGTGCAGGACACTCAAAATGGCATCTCCTCTGCAGCTGTCACTTTGCTGGCTTAGAGTAAGGGATCAAGGTTTAATGTTTCCTTATTTAAAGAAAGGTAATAAAGCAACTGTCTTCATCCATGAACACTCATTTCTGTTAAACACTTGGAGTTCTTCTTTGTGCTAGGGACATGATTTAATTCCAAATGAGTTCCTGTTTCCTAAGCTGTGTACAAAGTGTTGCAGTGTCCCGTGCTTTCATTGTACATGTAAAGTTTTCTCTAACCTGAAGTGTTAGGTAGATTAATAAATAAACATGCAATGCCCAATTTAATGAAAAATAATTTCAGATTCAATACTTTTTCTCACTGTTTCACACATCCACAGAAGATGTATGGTAATTTTTGTATCAGTGCCATTTACTGAAGGTGCTGCTTTCAAAATCAGGGAACTTAGGCAAAGTAAGTACTCAGGCTGGGTAAGCAGGTGCTTGTAGCTTAGTCACCTGAGCAAAGCTAGGGAAACACTGCTGATGAAATTTTGATACTATGAGATGATCCAAGTAGGAATTCTGGCTAAATCTGATAGTTAATGTAGGCTGCAATTTGTGGTTTGAATTTAGAGTAGATGTGTGAGAACTTTGTTGTAAAAAGTCATAGTACTTTTCCCATTAGGAATTTTGGCTGAGTGATTAAACTCATAATTAAATGCTAGAATGTTATATAACTTTATATGTATATTTTATTGCACAAAGTTAGAGACTTAAATGGAGTGCTACTGTAGTGATCATACTCTGTTTTGGGACAGTGACTTAGAGTCATTGTCCAAGTTATCTTCTGCTCATTGAAGTTCTGTTGGAATTCTGTAGTCTGAAGGCAGCAGGGATCAGTATCTCTCAACCCCCAGGTCAAAGGAATTAAATCTGTTGACAGAAAAGAGATTCTTCTGTTCCTAGGTAGACAAAATCCTGCTCTGACTTATTTGCAGTCCTTAAGCATAGAATGGCTTATAAGAAAGACAGGAATGGCTCATATAAGATGTGTATATTCTCCAGCTGATTTTCAGTACTTGCAGTTATTCCCATTTGGAGTTTATATTGAGAATGAAACACAGGCAGACAATTATTCTTGTTTTAAGGCACTTCATGGGGACTGTTCAGTCACTGAGCTTTTTGTTTTCCTAATAAGTACCTGTGATTTTCCCTTTGCTGTGGTGGGGCTGTGGAGGGCTGGAGGGAAGGTCCTCAGAGAGCAGCTCCTCACAGCTGGCTCCAGAATGGGCTGGGGAGATCATAGAGCAGATGGGCTGATTATTCTGTCACTGGCCTTTTTTGCTTAGATGTTTGTTGAAGATGACAGGAAGGAAACTGCTGTGTAAAAAGAACGATGGCTAATTACCTCTTGGAGTGAAAACTAAGGAGGAAATGGCAAACCAGTGTGACAATGGTATTTCTTGTGAACAGGAATATTGTCACAAGAAATAATGTTCTATTGCTAACATTCATTCCTCTTATTCTTGAGTTCAGTGTTTTAAGATGCAATGCTTATGAAGAAAAATTAATAAATGTATTTTTATGTATGTTGCAATATTGCAAATTATTGTGAGGTCCATATAGTAAAAGCTTAAGAACAGATTTGATAGGAATTTTTAGCAGAATCTACAATTGGTAAACAAAAACTTTTCAAATTTGATTTCAAGTTTTAGACAGAGCACTCAGTTAAGTTTTGTGAAAGCTGTTTCTAAACAAACAACCCCAAACTTTGGCCAGGCCTCCTCTGCAGAATGTCTTGCCAGCAAAGCACTGTGTATCAGCCAGGGGTGTGGAAAAAAGTCATACATCCCCGCTGACATCAATATGTTGGCAAAAGCCCAGGTGTGGATGCAGCTGTGCAGGCAGAAGAGAGCTTTTATCGGCTTGGCTGATGTTGTTTGGGGAGGTGATGCAACTACGCCAGCAGACAAACTCTCAAACTCTTCTCCTGGCCCGCGCTGGCAGCGTAGGAGGCTCCGCCAGCGCGGTCACGGCGTCGCGGCTGCGCTGCCAACCAACCCTTTGCAGCAAGAGCAACTGGAAAAAAAGGCCCCTTTGAACAACAGAGGGACCTCTATAATTTAGTTTTTATAAGTAGTCGTCGATGAGGAACAGAGCGGAAAAAGTGATTCAGATTTTAAAATTAAAGTTTTAATGTAAAAAACGTGGTTTGGTTGTATGGCTTTAAGGAGTCACTGTCCCTTCAATGGCTGTCTGTCGTTGGGTTGGAGGCTTTGAGAGCTGCAGGACACCCAGCACTTGTGTTTTGTAGAGCCTTTAAGGCTTGTGAAGGTATGAGTCTCTCTGGAAGCGCTGAAAAACCTTCTGTCTATAAACTCAGGAAGACAGCTATAGTCCCATTTACATTCCCATGATGTTTGAATGTGACCACTGGCACTAGAACATCTTCATGTTTAAATAGAAGCTTAAATTTCTCAGAATGGAGTGTTTATCTTTTACAGACAGACAGAATTAGAATTCCTGCTCTCTCTACACACAGACACACATTTTCCTCTCCTGCCTTTGGCCAGCTGGTGACAAGATTTTGCAAAACTCCAGTTCTTCATGACATAGAAAAACAAAGATTTTAAGGGAAAAACACTGTAAGAAATAAAAGCAAAACCAAACCAAAGACACTGAAAAACTTAATAGAGGCTCTTAGCCTTCTGTTGTAATTTAGAAATAAACGAGTTTAGATGAAGACAGGTATGTGTATGTTGAGTTTTCTGGCAGCTGTACGTGCACGTTTTGAAACCATAAACAGAGCAGTTTTGCATTTGATCACTGCATTTTGAGAACTTCACTGAAGGCTTTTTGAAGAGAATTTCACTGTGCCAGACTAAGTTTTTTCTGTTGTGAAAATGTTTTGAAAGTAGTTGCTCTGTCATTCTGCATTGCTTGTAACCCTAAAAATAATTGCCTGGTGTTACTGGAAGACGAGTGGTCTGACAGACTGACTTGTGCTGCTATTGTTGAAATCCATCAGTGTTTCCATTGCAAACTTGGAAGGGAGCATTTAATCTTTTTCCCTGGAAGAAATTCTAGATCAGTACTTCAAATCTCTTCCAAAATATTTATATTTGGAATTGATGTTTCTAAAAATCTCTATTAAAAACAAAAAAAATCTCTAACCCTATGGCAATGAAATATTGATACTCAGTTTTGAAATGCTAAATGATCAGGAATGTACTTAATTCTTTTTAGTAATTTTCAGTTCAATTAAATTGGGCAGCAACAATCTTACTGCTTATCAATGTTGGTTTTATAGCAAGCCTTACAGTTGGCTGTTCCAGGCCATTATAGCTACATAATAAACTTTGCAATATGCCAAATTGGAAGATTTCAAAACCTTCCTAGGGAAACACAAAAAAGAAGCACATAATTACCATAAAGTATCTGATATAAGGCATGCCTTTGTACTTTTCTCCCACTCACAATTCCATTCCAATTTCTTGAGGTTATCTCCAGAATAGTTTTGCTTTTCTTGTGTGTAGTTTCATGGGTGCTTTAAACAGAGCTAAACTCTAATCCTTTCCTCTCTGCCTTTGCATTCCTGCTCCCTGCCTTGTGACAGCCAAAGTCACTTTTGCGTAGTGCAAAGCCCACATGCGGTGTACCAGATCAGGGAAAATAATTTTTTGGTTCAGTTTGTGGCCATACAACTGTTTGTACTATCCCAAGGAAGAGGGTGGCACTAGGGTGGGAACAAGTGAGTCTACATTGACATCTCACTTTATATTCCATTTTATTTTTTTTCCTCTCCTGTGCCTTTCCTCTATTCATGGGGCAGTTCTTTGCTATGAGCTTGTGGTGGAAGCTCAGGCTTCTGCAGGAAAGGAGCCACATGCAGCCACTTTGTCAGTGAAAACTGTGTAGTCACAAGGTATTTACAGGCAACTTCATCTTCTAGTATATTTTTAAAGTATTCCTCTCTTAAAACACCACAGACAGGTTCTTAGTACTTTTTGTACAGTGCCCTGCTATACTTCTCTTAATGCAAATGATTTCTCTATTGCAGATTTCCTCTAGAACGTTTTTATGTTCCATTTGGGTCTGATTTTAAGAGCAATAGCATTAGATACCTTGAGGAGTAGGTAGAAGTGCTTCTGTGCTTTTCTCCTTTTGAAACTTGAATTTTTTACCATTATATAGAGCCTTTTTCTTGATAATTGTGAAATAATCCACAAATATGGAGACAGACAGCAGTATGAAAGTTCTCCCAAGGCACACCATTCATTTAAAGTCTTTTTCTTAAGCTATCTGTGCTCCTTCTCTATCTCTAAAAAAATAATAGCAATATTGTGTGATGTACTAAAAGCCAAGAGATAGAAAAGAGGCTTGTAATTATTTTTGCATTTTTTTATAGATTAAGGAAAGAGCATGGTCTTTGTGTCTGCCACAATTTGACATGTGAAACAATCATAGTGATATAAACTTTGAACCTGCTGGAACCTAGAGGAACAATAGTTCCTATTTCATTTTCACATGAGATGACACAATGAAGAGTGATAAAATCCTTGGAGTAATATTCAGTGAAAGTTATATATAATTTGACCCTGTGTCATGCATCGAGTGGCGGTTGGCGATATCAGGATGTGCCTGTGAGTCCTGTCCCAAATGTGGTGTGAAAGCAGTTGTATTTAAAATCCGTGGGTGATTAGGAACAGGTTGAACACAGTGCTCCACATGATAACCAGGCTGCTGTGGGCTGAGCTGATGTGCATGCTGTGATTGTACCTGTACTTTACTCTAACCTGCTTTTTCCTTTGCAGCAGTCCATTGTACCAGCCCACCCAATGGCTCCTCCTAGTCCCAGCACCACCAGCAGTAATAACAACAGTAGTAGCAGCAGCAACTCAGGATGGGATCAATTAAGTAAAACTAACCTTTACATCAGAGCACTGCCTCCAAACACCACTGATCAGGACCTGGTAAAACTATGCCAACCGTAAGTACTACGTTTAAATGTAAATTATAATTTTGTGCCTTAAAAGCTTGTAGTAGGTACCAAAGATGGGTGTTTGGATTATGAGGGAAGAAAACCAGATACATAAACAAACAGCTTCATGCTGTGGTATGATGGCAGGTTTTAACTTTGTTGGCAATCAGAAGGAAAAGATTGTTTGATGCTTTGGAGAAGGAAAGAGTGAGAATACAGTGGTGAACTGAAGCAACCCACTGCTTTCGTAAAAGCTGTGATTACCCGTTGGGTTGTTGAAATCACAGATAAAATTAATACCTAAATATGAAACTTGCTATTGAGAACCTGCAGAGAGGGTCTCCTCTGTTCACTGCTAAGATAATCTGTTGATACAAACTTGAGTAATTGTTCTGAATCACTGTAAACTACAATGTGCATTTGAAGCTTATCCTAGTTTCAGACTAATTCATGGCTGTACTTTGCACAGTTATTTTTATGATTAGAAATAGCTGGTCCATGTAACAATCCTGTCTAGTGGCTGAAGTTCTGGGTAGACTTGGTTTAGCAGAGAGCTTTTAGGCAATGTTGTTAACTTAAGATTTTTTTTTTGCTTAAGAGAGTTATTTGTTCTATTTTTGAATTTTTACAGCAGCACGTGCCTCATACTTTCAAATATGGGCTATGTGTCAAAAGACTGTACAGTTGGGTTGTTTATACACTGTTTAAAATCACCTGCCTTAAATGTTTTACTGAATTTTTAAAATGTCTTAGTACCTCTAGAATTCATAGTGCACTTTCTGGATTATTTTGAAATCAAAAGTACTCTACTAAATTTTCAATACTACATGTAGGAAAACATGCATATCTGTCTATTTTGGATGAAGACTTATTAAGATTTGTATTTAATGCTACTGCTGAAATTTTAAAAATAATTTTATGTTCCATCTAGCAGATAAATTAATAGGAGTATACAAAAATAGAGCACAACACAAGTAGAAAAATTGATAACAAAACCTGTTAATTTTGGATCCAAGCTTGTGTGAGGTACCTTTGGGTTTGAATATTGCAAAAAATCTGATACCTAATTTATAGAGGAGATTTTATTTTTTTAATTTTAAAGAAATTGGACTTTCAGGGTAGTAGTCACATAGAAGTTGTCCTAGTGTTATAATAAAAACAGCTTGCTCTCAGATCTTTAAAGAAAAAAAGTTATATTTGCTCATTTCTCCAATAGCAAATGAAATCCTTGTGTTTTGCAGAGAAGTGAATAGATAATCAATCTTTGAAAAGGCTTGTTGAATAAATTCAGCATTTTTACAGCTTCCCATGTGACAATGACCTCTTGTAACTTGAATTTTAGCTGCAAATGTACATTTTACAGAAGTGGATTTTTCCTTCCCGTTTTTATCTTTTGAACTGATGAAGAAACCTTGGCCTGTGCATTCATGTTATGTTAGGACAGAGCTGTGAGGTTATTTTGCACAGGAACCACCCCAGTGGCTACTATTTGTGCAGTGGTTACTATAGCTCCTTAATCTCTTTCTGAAGACATTTTGGTTTGCACAGTCTCAGATGTCATTGATGCATGACCAATATTGTCTAGCCTAGAAAAAAAATATTTTCAATATTTGCTGTAACTGGTCCCCTTCCTCTTTAATTAGCTGGAGATTGCAATTTTGTTGTTGCTGTTCAATATATAGTTGTAGTTGGAATAGCGTGAATTGTATAAATAAAGAACAGGCAAAAACTTCAGCCATTAAATTGTTAAATCAATTCTGGTGTGAATTTTCAGATGTGGAAGGTCATGACATTTATTCCTGTGAGATATTTCCCTTCTAAGGATTTTACCTTAGGAAAGGAGCTTGTCTCAAAATTCTCCATTTCTGCTGAGGAAGGAAGTGAGATGTCCAGAAACTTCAGGTTGGACAACATAATGCCTGAACAACTAACTGGATTTGGCAGTAAGATAGAAATGGCAGCTCTCTCCCTGTTCACCAAAGCTCAGTAATCCACTTTTGTAGACCATGGGAAGTTTCAGATGCAAACCATTTCCTTCTTGTAAATCTGCCTAAGCTTCTAGGATGTAGAAGGGAAGATATTCTTGAAAGTGAACCTGCCATGTTCATTGTTTAAGCTGAGATAATGCAAAATAAATGGAGAATAGAATCTTGGACACACAGAAGTCAATAAAGAGACTATTGTTTACTCCAGGTCTCTGAAATATTTTTTTATCTCTTTCCAAATTCTTAAGATTTTACTGAGAGGCTTTTAGAGTTATTTTAGCTCCTTTTCTCCATATAGATTGGGTCTTGCTATCCTAAGAGGGTGTCCACTGCAGTGCTCGATGCTAAGAATGGATAGAAAGGCTGCTCTGCATTTTGTAGGAATGATCTTGCTAGCTGGCAATAAGCAGCTTTTGGTGGGTGTACATAAAAAGGTCACTGGCGTGTTTTGTGTCTTTTGGCTGATGTCAGACAAGACAGAGGAACACCTGTGGGTTGAGGAAATCTGGATGAAAAACATCATTGTCATTGCAAGTACCAGAACCATCCCATCTGCAGAGATTTTTCCTTGTGATCATCATGGACTTGTATCATATATACTCCACTGAGAAGTTATTTTCAGTGATGGTTATGGTAGAGAAAGATTGCTTTTGACAGAATCCCTCATAATACAAGCTCAAATAATATACAGAATTCTTGTGTGGGGAATTGTTATCCTGTGACTTCTATTTGATTTAGTCAGGTTTTGCATCATTTCTTGTCATGACAGCAGTACTAATTTTGGCCGTGTTCTTACTTTGTTTAATTCTTTTTGGTGAATCACTAGAAAAAGCCCTTATCAATTGTGGAAGTGTTGGACTTGTTCTCCTGTTGTTGTAGCACAGCTGGGCAGTCTTTATGAACACAGTGAGCAAACGTTCACCAGCTTTGTGGAAAAGTATTTCCTGGCAAGAACACAGTTTGCCAGTATACGTGTCTACAAATCTGTCTCCACCTTCAACTGATTGGTCCTTTTTGTTTTTCTATTAGGTGAAGCTCTTTTCCTCTTTTTCTGGTTGAAAAGAGCATATTATGCTTTTGTTGTGAGGGCTTGGGAGTATGGCTGTTTTTCAGAGCATATTTCTGGCTTTTGTGTGGGAAATGAAGCTATCATGTTTCTGAATAGTTCATTCAAAATTGAGCCTGCTACTCCAGTTCTGCATTGAGAAACCAAATTTCTTCATATCAGTTGTGCCAGAGGCAGAAGCATGGGGAGGACTAAAGTAGGTATTGTTTGTCACAAAGATGTCATAACAGTCAGCCCAGAACCAGAGGAGTGTCAGGGGGACATGATGTGAGTCAGTCCTGGCCACAAGAGCTTCCCATCAGGTATGTGGGAGTAGGCAGAGCAATCAATGCAGTGGCCTACAGATCCTGTCTTTTCTGTGGGAGTCTGGACAGGAGCAATCGGCTGAATAGCACAGGAGCAGAGGACAGGAGCCAGTGAGGTTTGGGAAAGCCTGCAGGAAGTGCCTGACTCTGCTGTGTGGTTTCTTTTCACAACTACAGAGTGCCATTGCTGCACTGGGCAAGCCTCTGCCATGAAGAGCTGGTTTGACAGGGTTGCTGAAGCAGTGTTTACTTCAGCCATGCCTAATTGCACTCCCTCCTCCTGGTGTAGATATCAGTACTTGATATGCTTTCTTCAGCTTTTCAGATGGGTTTTGAATGTATTATTTAGGCTCTAACTCTACTTTCTTATTTGGTGACACTTAGTAATTTCTTTTAACTTATTGAATATCTGGATCTGACGATACAAGATTAAATCCATTCCATTTATTCACTGAAATTGTTGAGCCTGCTTATCTGATTAGGGACTTACATGATTGGGTCTTAGCAGATTCAGTCAGGAGTTTGTAACTTGCTTTGACATGTTTTCTAGGTGCTTTCCAGACTCTCACTAAGCACTGTGCTTTGCTGAGGATGACCTTTATGCTGAAGCCACATGGTTCCAAAGCCCTGTACTTTCCACTGTCTAGCTTATGATTTACTTGCTGGCCTGCAGCAGCATTGTGTCTGTGTAATGCTGTTTCTTCGGAAACCTCCTTTTGTGAAATGTACATCATTAAATGAGGATGATGCAGCAGACCCTTCATCCTCCTGACAATCCCCAGTCCCTGGGTGAGATTTTGAGCTTTGAGGCTTAACACAAGTCTCCTCTGTTCAGTTCAGCGTAAATCATCTGGTCAGCCCACCCTTTGGTATTTTCCCTTCCAGGCTGTTTTCTCACACTGTGCTGCTTGTAAAAAGCTGTTTGTATTCTATATGATATTTTTGAAATCGCTTTTTCCTCTGGACAGTTTCACTTAGTTGGCCTTCCCCCTTAAGTTATCACTGTAGGGTCATATTTTGGGTTTTTAATGGGATTGCATTCAGGAAAGCAGCTGCTTTAAGATAACAAAATACAGAATTACCACAGCAGGCTCTTGTTCTGTGCCAGGATGGTCTGCACACAGAAACAGAACCTTGCAGTGGCTGCCTTTGCATATGTGCATTCTGAAATCACTTGTCTTGTTGAGAGAGTAATTTAAGGGATCCCTGCTAAATACTCAGCATCATGAACACAGGCATAGCCAAAACAGCTGGCAGGCTAATGCTTTTCTTGAAACATATGACCCAGATGTGATATACAGCTTTGTTTCCAATACATACTTAGTTATATACTCCAATATTTCCCTGTTTTGAGACAAGATAGCTTGAAAGTTGTTTCAATTCCCTGTTCTTAGTAAAAGACGTATTTTCATTGTCATGTGAATTTCATTTACATGTTAATGTTTCCCTGTTCTTTGCTGTGTAATTGTGACCTCTCCCATGTTGCCATTTCTCGTCTGCTTCAAACATATTTAGAACTGGAAAGAGGTGAACTGGAGCTCAGACATTTACTGTAGCAGGGAGCTGGCACCACTGTGGTCACTGAAGATCAAGAAATTAGTTAATTTTACTCAGTATACCTCATTACAAAAAAAAAAAGGCTGGACTTTAGAA